GCGAGATAAGGCCTTCAATTTTAACAGAATTCAACATGGCGTTGAGTCACGAAACTTAAACGTATATAAGTAAGTACATACGTACATATATACATACATATATACATACGTACGTACGTGTTTATATACATTCTAGAGTATCAACTAATATATTTATATAACAACTGACACAATAAAAATGACTTTGAATTTAATTTTCAGAACTCACACACACACACAGACACACATCATAACACAATTTTATAACCAACAAAAATCTGCAATATATTAATTTATATTATACAAGTCCAGAAATTTTTTCATAAATTTTTTCATTTCCTTTTCATTTCCTCTTTTTTACCCTTTTTATAATGTGACAATGATTATAACCATATAAAGAGTCTCGTGAAAGACGTAATCGATATTTAAAAATCAATTAAAAACCGTCATGATGACGGCCATCTTGTACTTCCTATTACAGTAATTAAAAAATCACAGATATTTATTATTTAATAACAACAACAACAACAACAACAACAACAACAACAACAACAATAACAACAACAATAACAACAATAACAATAATAATAATAATAATAATAATAATAATAATAATAATAATAATAACAATAATAATAATGATGACAGTGACTTGCGTGATTATTGCTAGAAGAGAAAAAAAAAAAAAGAAGAAAAGAAAAAGAAATAAGAGGAGAAAAAATGAAAACAAAAAGAAAAGAAAAAAAAACAAATAAAAATAAATAGAAGGAACTATGTTAAGTATAACATAAAAGTTTTTAGAGCTTCCGGTGGTGTCCACGAAATTGCAATTTTCCTCGATCTACATATGTACACCTAATACATACATACATACATACATACATACATACATACATACATACATACATACATACATACATACATACATACATACATACATACATACATATATACATACATACATATATACATACATACATACATACATATATACATACATACATACATACATACATACATACATACATACATACATACATACATACATACATACATACATACATACATACATACATACATACATACATACATATGTACGTAGGTATATGTAATACGGTCGATGCATCTCCAAAGAGGAATCTCGACGAAGCGAATAAATATTTGGCAACGCGCCTAAAGCCGCACACGAATGATTCGGTGGGATCTAAGGGATGGGAAGGGAGGGAAAATGGGCAAAAGAGTATAGGGGGTGGGAGGGTTGTAGGAGGATTGTAGAGGTTATAGTAGGAGGGGAGCCTCGACTTTCAGTCGTCAGAATCAACTGAATCGAAACCAAACGACCAAAGCCGATCTGCGGTTTTTACAACGCTACTTGTGTTTCACGGCCGATTCGTTGTGATACACACACACACACACACACACACGAATATTCTTCCCCTCATATCCTTCGAATTGAATAATAATTGTTTCTAAACAACGGGCCACCAATTTTTCTTTTTTTTTTTTTTTCAAAAATCGTTATTAACCGATTTAGTTGCGATTCTTTCCTTCGATAGTAATTAGAGCGTATCACGTTGGAGGAGACTTTTTAATTTGAGAGAGCAAAAAAATAAAAGAAAATAAAAAAAAAAAAAGAGAGAAACAAAGAAAGAAAAGAAGAAGAAAAAGAAAAGAAAAAAGAAAGAAGAAGAAGAAGGAAGATGAAAAATACTTGGGAATTCTTTTTTATTTTCTTCTTTCTTTTTCTTTTCTCACTTCTCTCTCTTCCTTCCTTTTTCATTTGTTTTCTTTTTCCTTTTTTCTTTTTCTTTTTTCTTTTTTTTCTTTTTTTTTTTTTCATTTTTCCTCTTTATTTTTTTATTATTTTCTTTTTTCTTTAAAGGAAGAGAAAAAAGAAAAAGAAAAAGAGAGAACAAACGAAAGGAGGAGTAAAGTAATTTTTTGCCATTCTTGTTTTATTTTCTTTCTCTCTTTTAATTTCTTTTCTTTTCTTTTCTTTTCTTTTCTTTTCTTTCTTTTTTTAACTTTTCAATTTTTCGATCATTTTTTATTTTCCTTTTTCTTTTCCTTTTTTTTTCTTTTTTTTTTTTTGTTTTGTTTTTTTTTTTTTATCTTTACCGGAAGGAAAAGAGAAACTTTTGCCTTTTTTTCTTTTCGTTCTTAAAGGGATAAAAAAAGAAGAAAGATTGAAAGAAGAATAAAAGAACGCTAAAAGAGAGAAATAATATCGTTTTGAACAATTGTTTTTGAACGAATTCGAAGATATTATGTTTTAGCGATTTAAAAGAATAGGGGTAGGGGAGGAAAAAAAGGAGGAAGAAGAGGGAAAAAAAATTGTAATACCGTACGATTTTCTTGTTGTTTCTTTGCCTCTTTCTCTTACCTTTCGTAACGCTTTAAAGTGTAACGATAGAAAAAAAAAACGCGTCAACTTATTACACTTGCAATTACTTTACTGTCACAGTTTATAACTAAATGTGAAACTAAATAGCTGTTAGAACGAACAGCTAAAAAAAAAAAAAAAGAAAGAAAAAAACAAAATTAATAAAAAAAAATATATTAATAATAATAATAATAATAATAATAATAATAATAATAATAATAATAATAAAATGA